GAATATCTGCCGTTTGCTTTAGAGACTTTTCCGAAACGAACTAGAAATACATAGTTTTTTAACAAGTGCACATGTTTGTCTGTTTTGGACTGTTCCAACAACCGTGTCCTTCAGCGGCGGTGGGCTCGAATAGCTCAATCGTTAGGGCTCGGACTTACTGACCCGGCGGTCCATGATTCCCACCTTACTCCGGCATGTCGACCACTCCCGTCTAGGTTTGGGCGGATTACACGGCAGCTTAATACCGAAATGGCGTTACCCCTGGACGATTATTATCATACTTTTTCATCGGCGGCATCAGTTTGCACACAAGTGACAGGACGTTAACTGGATACGTGCATCGAGCTAAATAGTCCGGTGTTCGTCACGTGGAATTGAATGTAACTGCTGAAGTGGCTGTGGCAATAGTGCTGCTATCCCTGACAGATTCTGTCCGATTTCGCAACGTCCCAATTTGATGAGTGGTCACCGTACTCCAAAATTAGTTCCGTAAATAAGTTACAGAAACACATGTCATCTTGTCGAAACGACCCTAGCGCTATGATGTGCCTCAGGTGCGCCGAGTGTTTGTCGACCCCCCAGTCTTTTTTGTCCAATGGGGGTACACTCGTCAACTCGCGTAAGGAGATCCGCTATAACGTTTTGTTTTGCCATGTAAGGATGTTTATAGAATCCCAAAGTTGTTTCCGAATGGCTTGTGGATTCACGCCATTGGCTGATAAAATGATATGCTGAGCAAATATTAATTCAGTATCACAATGGCGGTAGTTGCTCAGGTTTTACCATGCTGTTCGCCATACAAAGTGTCATTTAACACCAGTCGCTGGCGAGTTCGCTCAGTAGAATTGATGTAAAACAAATAAGCGAACCTAGAGACAGTCCTTGTCGAGGAGGGAAGCGCTCATATAGTGAGCGAAAATTTGGTGGCTTACGGGGTCATTTTTTCAACCATTTGACCTTTTATTGAATTTGCCAAGATCCACAAAATGTGTCGTTGTTAGAAGAATACTTGCAATAAGGGTAGCGGACCGCTTCGGGAGAAGCGCGCCACATGCACTGATGTGCAAAGAGAAGCGATCTTGATGATCCGAGGACTAACTCGCCGTAATAGTCACCAACGGAGATATGAGGCCCCATTTAATAATAAAGGTCAAGATACTAATTTATCAGGACCGAACGAAAGTGACGTGGCGTCAATTCCTAAACAGCGAAGATAACGCCATGCTTCCCTTTGAGATTTTTCATACCTTGTGGATGTACATACACCTCGGGATTAGAGACGGATGAGATCGAATGGGTCCCGGGAGGGGATCACACGGTCATTCAAGCTGCTATCACCCAGAAAAGATACTCGTGAATGGACTAGGTGGAACAAAGTTCCCCACACCTTTTAGGCACCAATTAGGAGGTGGTGGTGGGTGATCATTTGCCGAACTTGTCACATGACTTGCAAACGTTTCTTCACCATTCGAGACGTCATGAACATGCGATTGGATGAGTAGGTTCTCTACTGCAAATAACAGTAAATTGTCAACGGACAGAGAGTTGATGTACCAACGATCGGTTAGGTGAGCACAGACACAGGATATACCGAATGTACAATCTGGCAGATTGTACTCATTTAGGTGATTACAGATTAGACCCACGCGTGTGGAGGCTTCTTTGTCCCACCACTCTACTTTCCCTTGTGTCAGTTGTTCACTAGGCTGTTGCCACCCCTATTTTACACGGGTTGAAAAGGTGAAGATGGAGAGGTAGATGTTGCGTTTTGGTGTTGTGACTTGCTGATGTATTATGTCTGTATGCCTCTTTGGGAAAACGTTCGGGTGTCATTCATATACAACCTTGGGGCTTGAGTATGGTGGAGACAACACGATTGTTGTGTGCAAGTAATGCGCAACAAATCATTTTTCACAAAATCGCCCTTTGCCAGTGTGGTATTGCACTGATTAATCCCTAAAAGTGCCGATACACTCCGGCCAAATAGGTTGCGGTTAATAAGTGGAACTAATGAACAATAAAAGCAGGGTACGCGTGCACACCACATGACGCGAAAAGATCAACCGGCCGAATGGCAGTGCTTTTATATCTAGGACCTTCATTCTCAACCATTCGGTTGAAAACTGAGGCGATAATGGACTTCTGAGCTGTACCAAACCTAATAAAGATGGAAATATTTTAGGATTCAAACATCCGTCGTACTCATGGGTTTGGTGTTAATCGATCTGATCGCTAATTTTTCAATCCTGTACTCCGGTTGGAAGCATCAATTGTATAAAATAAAAGCCTGAACACGATTGAGTGTCAAGATGTCAGAGTGCGTGTCAAAATACCGCGACACCACCCTTGTTGATTCCTCCTGTGAATTAGTGGTAGCGGTTATCTTCGGTGTTATTTGACTACTCACGAGTAGCATGGCTCGGGCATGTAACACGATGCCACTCTGCATCCCTCCCGCTCGTTCCCTGGGCTTTTGCTTACGCTTGAGGTTTGCTTACTCTCTATTCACTAATGTCAGGACTCTGTCCTCTAGCCGTGTTCGCCTGCAAGTTCGTATGAAATCTACCTATTTTCGGGCGTCCCGACGGGAAAGCAGGTCGCCCGAGGGTCGAACTAGAAAGTCTCGGAGGGAAGACGGATGCCCTACCCGATAAGCCAACTGGAATCCTCCGGTGGCCCTAATTTTGCGCTACCTTTGTATTGCATTTTACATGATAGTGCTTATTTGGATTTTGTTTCAAACGAACCCAGACGCGCATTTTGACTTGACACGGCGCTAACTAATTGGTCACGCCGTCAGCTAGACTACTGGGATGTTTAATATGCCAAATTCACCCGACACCTTCATCTCACGAACGCACTGTATTCTGCGATGCTATTTCCGCATACTCTGCACGTATCCGTACGTTTGTATATTATCTGGTACTTATTCCCTTCAAGAGCCCCTGCTGTCTTGATGCCCCCTTTTCCTGCTCCTACCTACTGCGATATTGTTGACCATATGTATTGCTTAACTCATGGTATTTGTTAACATACTTGTCCATAGAGCCGGTTGTCAATACATCATCCACTACTCTCACCCATTTGTTCCTACTGCCTACTGAAAATGAACAGTTCATAGTCTCATAGTCCCCGTAAGATCCTTGGCTGCCATGATCTTACAACCCTCAACAACGAACGCCTGTAAACATGGTATTCTGTGGAGCTCAAATGGGTCTTTGATATTGCTAATACTGGACAGAGTCTGCAAGGACAACTATCCAGCATATCCAGCTTGCCCGATGGCGGAGGGAAGTGCTCAATTTACGCATTCACTGATACAACACACAGATACACCCAAAACGAACTAAGTCATGGAGAATGAGCAGCTGCTGAATTGTTTCAATTTGATGCCTTATAGAGTGGAATCAGTAAGTGAGCGTACCGCAGCCGTAGGTGGATATAGTTCGCCCCAACAAAACAGGTAAGGTTTGCTCCCACTTGTTCCTCCCGTTTCTGACGACAGTTGGGATAGTGTGAACTGGGTCATCAAACGCAGATTATCGCATGCAATAGTTATCTCATCCAACAAACCTTACCAACCCAATAAAGTACATCATGACAGTGGCGGACACGGTCCACTCATGATAGGTTCTGCTAACTGCGCTTGACAATTCGTTGGCATACATCAAAAGGTAATCTTTTTGTTTCATTAGTAAGGTTGGTAGATATTTCTTACAAGGTAACCGACCTCGATGGCTGACGGCCGGCAGTGATTTTGTGTATGCTGTCTTGGTCACAGCTGCCTGGAGGTCCTCTTGCTCTCAGGGTAGTTTTCACGATAGGGCGAGTGAAGTATGCGAGATGAGGCGAGTCTAAAAAAACTTCCGAGATCATCCAAAAACGCCTTGCAGTTAAAAAGGTCAATGAAGCAGCTAGTGTCTTTTGGCGCGAACAGGTTTCCTTTATTACTGAATGTGGCAACCTGCAACATACTACCTTATCTTTTGAGGCTTCTCAGAGACAGAAATTTTGTTGGGCGCGCTCTCCGGATAAAAATCGTTCTTGATACTACTTTGTCTAACAGCCAGCGAACCACACCGCTGCTTGATAACTCGTATCCGAATTGCACATATAGGTGGACCGGAAGTTGACGGATGTAAATCTCTCTCGACAATCGTAAGATAAGCACTGCTGATTACATCTACTTGGGTGCCTCTACATGAAAACCACTAGAAAAAACTCAAAATGAGCAGCACTCCTCATCATAGGTGTCCGTTCTCGTATGAACCTTTTCGTATTAATCAAAACCACCAGGGTACTTTTTGTTTGCATAGTCTTTTGACCCCTACATGGCCACAAACCCTACACTGTTAGGTGACTTAATTTTTTCACATTCTGTCCAATGCCATGTACACGCGAATGGGCTCATACAATTTCAACGGTGCAGCTTACAAACAAGACGAGTGTGGGGTGCAAATTAGGGAACTTGAACCGAATTGGATACGGGCCGCAAGAGGGTAATCTGTTGAGACGGTGCATATTTCCAGGTTGAAATAATTATTCTAGCATATTCCACCCTTTCACTCTCAAAAGCGTCTCCTTACTTTTAAGAATCCAAATGCGTTAGTGATAGATTGTCTATCATCCAGTTAGTTCACATTTCTCAGGCTAGAGCTACGCGAGTTCCGGGTTCGCGTCAAACGCACATTCACAATTTTGTGAAGACTGCCCCATAGAGCAGCCCAGGTGCGATAACAACAAATGTCTGATAGACGAGTAATTCCACCACTGAAAATATGAGGACGAGGTTAGCCCGGCACCAATTGGATGAAAACGACAATATAGCTTGATATCCATCCTCGGCATAAAAGAGACAAATGCGGTCGGACATACCGCCCGGAAAAATCGCCAACACTGCTCTGTGGTGCAAACATCCTATCCCGAAGAAGTTATCTTTTTCATAAGAAGAAAGTGAGTCGAACTTAAAACGAACGTTCTAGACCAGCACTGTTTCTTATAAAATATGTTCAAGAAAAGCTGGGACTAGTTACATAAGACCGTACTCTGAACGCACCATCGTGACTGTGAGAAATAAAATTGAGACAAGTAAAGTGGGCGGTACACGATCCAGTTTGAAAGTTTCATGCGGAATCCTGGCGGAACCTGTGGCACAAAATGGATACTCACCTTACTCCAGTGAACGGACACAGAGCACGCAGTCAAAAACGATAACACTAGTCAGTGACCGTTTCAAGCAAGATGGCTCTGTGTCACGTATAAGCGACACACTGCTCGATATGGATTCCTCGGGACGGAGTCATCTTGACGGCGTATCTATCGTCTCTCCGGGTTTGCGATTTTTGGTAGCAATGGGCAAAGACAACACCAAACAGCCTCCTACACAATCCAACGTAGCAGACAACTCGAGGACGAAAAACTAACAAGCGTGCTGTAAGATATCAGTAACAAAAACCTAAAGGATGCATTTATGGTAAGATGAGTTACAATTATCCCTCATACTCCTCGTTTTACGATCCATGCTCGTGGGCTAAACTGAAAAAAAACAGCGGCGATAGAACAAAAGCAAAAATGCAAAGGTTAGAAGAATGTAGACAAGTGAGTGGTCAAATTAGTAGATTAGAAAAATGAAAGAAGAGATAGATACACCGTTTCAGGGAAGTGCGGGTACGCACGAAGGCATGGTCATCAATCGGAATCACACGAATGATTGTGGCAAATAAAGAAAAACAATGAAAGACAAATGCAAATGTTGATAATCTCGTGTCAACACCCCATCTCATCGATTACCGATTGAACGTGATTTGGTGGCGCATCCACTTGGGAATTGAAAGACAAAGAGGCCTCACGTCTTTTGTAGGTTACGCGGAGCGCGAACAGCTGAATGATTCCGATCAGAACGAGCGTCGAGCAAACAACCAAGTTCGGAACGGTATAATCCTGAGTGGAAGCAAAGAACGGTCAAAATGTGACCAGAATGGGGAAAAAGTGTGGTAGATCTGGCGAGGAATTAAATGCTGTTGCCATAACGAAAATATGACAGATGTTGGGCCCGGTAGACCAGTATCGCAGGTTTTTCACTCTACATGTAAATAACCACCGTATGGAAGCAGCTGATCCTGATTCGATGGATATGGATAAAGTTTTAATGTCATCAAAATCACTCTATTTGCTGGTTCGAATTCCAGTACATAGGACTAGGCATGTGATGAGTTTGTTTAAAGTGAAAGGTCATGTGTTAGACAGACCAAGTTAATCAAACTGGTGGTCTGATGCCAAACAAGCATACAATGACCTTTGAGCAAGGACCAGACTTGCCAAATGTCGTGTGTTTGTGAAAGCTTGCCTGTTGGGGACCAAACAGGTAGGTGTAGTTCAAACATTTCCGTCAACCTTATATCTTACTTGAACGTGCATACATACACACTTATTTACCAACCAAATTAGTGTTAACCGGTGACTCAACAGAATAGCCGCTGAATCTCTCATTCATGATTAATGGGAACTTGTTCCCTTAGTTCGGTGAAGTTTCCTCGGTCAATACATGGGGATATTTCTGAATGACTGTTCTTGTATCAGATGCTCTATATGTTGAGTGCAATGCCCTACTCCGCAGTCGTAGGGCTCTCTAGCCGAGATATTAATTTTGCTGTGCGGCGAGAAGCAGAAAGTGAGACCCACGAAACTAACGTTTGACACGGTTACACCGTGTCTGTAGAATATAGAATATGTAGATATCTTGTCACAAACGTTTAGTATATTTTCGAATGATTGTAACGCCTAACTACGAAGGACGACGAACCCGATTGTCCCTTACACAAACATTATATTGAGCATGTTGACAGAGTTACCGACCAAGTGCCGATGGAAGATCGTTCGAGAGTAGCTTTTGCTTGGGGATACTGCTCTAGAGTTCACAAAGCCCCAAGGACACAGGACGGTGTAGTTGCTGCGGTTGTTCAAACCCAAAGACGTAAAGTCAAGATAAGCTTCATGTACTGTGAGGTGAATTTTCAGTAGGAACCGTGAATAAATAGTTCGAAGAGTCAACTCCAGTTCATTTACACACGTAAAACTCAGGCGATGAGACACCGTTTTCCGTTGCCTACAATTAATTTGGTCACTTTCTCAAAGTGTTGGGCTGGCTGTGACCACCGATGAAAGTGGTATGACCGTTTGTGTACCTCCGGGACCCATTGAGCTATACTGGAAGGCTGTCTGCGCGACACTCGCAAAGTCTCTCATACCAGGTTGGTCAATGGTTAGAGGTCTGACGAGCACAGTCTCCTGGTCCTCCAGGTTGGGGGTTGGGACATGTGGCGACTTGTTCCGTAGGAATGGTAATACATTTGCATTTCCTGCCAAACACCGCCGCCTTGCGGTCGAGCTTTTGAGCAAAAAGCTTTGGTTGTGGACCCTAGTCGTCCTCCTCTCTAGGCCTGGACGCCCTGGCAGTATCCCAGCCTTCGTACAACCATGAATTGCACACCGACATACTCATGCCACGTCGGTCGTCGCGTGGTGCCATTAGTCGGGCAACCTTACTTGCTGCATACTGCAGGGCGGGTAAGCGAAAACTGGTCACCGCTGACGCAGTTAAGATGGATCAAAAAAGCTACCACAACTGTTAGGATTTTACTAATCAGATGAGAATTGAACGGAGACAGGTTGTTACCAGTGAAGACGTGATGGTATTCACAGAAAACGTGGAGATGAATTCAACACTCGGAAACGTGTCAGTGACTGAGAATCAGAAAAAAACCTAATTACTCAGGTTTAAGATCACCAATAGGCTCGACGAAAAGAGCCATAAGTCACGAGTCTGGTAGTAAGGACTTACTTGTGGAGTGACAGCAGACCCACAGGTTGGAGTGAAAGACGGACTGGAGTGGACCTCGGGAGCTGCAGCTTGCATACCGGCCACGAACACAATCGATAGAATTTGGCTGAAGCTAATCATAAGACCGGTAGTAATCGCCTCGGGCACGGGGAAAGTGATCTCCGCAGCAAGTTCAAGGGCCAAGCTGTATTGAGCGAATCCAAATGCTCCGAGCCACATGGTGAAAAATATTGTAAGAAACGACTGTCCAGGGAACCAGATAACCACACTGAACCCGACACAGCCCAGAGTGGCTAAAACGAAGCAAACCTGGAAAGCCGAGTACACGCGGGCGATTAAGCTTAGATAAGGACACAAGAGGCTTGGGTTTCGGGTAAAAGAATCGGTAAAAAGCTATAGGGTTCTCGACCGAAGACAGAAAGAAGTGCTGTAGAACTACGACTGAGATAGCTAAAACCCTTGTCAGGAGGAAAGGCATGGATGCTAATCACGATCCAGACGACATGTGGATGTTCCAACCATGGGGCTCGTCGGTTTTGAATACGCCCCAAACAAATTCCAGTTGGAGTTTCAACTTTTTACCTGTTACTCCCGATTGAGCGACTGAAGTATAGGACACTTAAGTGGAACTAGTCTAAAGAAACTCTTGCTTGGAAGAAAAACAGCTTTCTAACAGGGGACGCCGTACATCCGGTCCCACAAGCTTCTGGATGAAGTTGGAGAGCAAAGGCTACAGGTTCGTTTCGTGCATAACGGATAGACGGGTTTGGTTGAGTTGAAACGTAACCAGACGGTTTAAACACTACCAGGGACTTCAGAAGTAGATTATTGTGGTACGCTTTCGCCTCACTAACATGCAGTTAAGTTGTTTTATCCGAATAAAACAGGGGAAAGGGGTGACTTGGAGCCTGATGTTAGCTCATGACAGCTGGGGTGTCGAAAGCAAGAACACCAGTGACAGGTGTGTACAAGTATCTTGCAGGGCCTCCGGCCAGTCACAGGGAAATCACACATCCGGACCCACCCATTTGCCCGGTCTCTTTTAGGAAGATAATCTGTCAATCCATTGGTTTTCTTCACTTTGACATTGGTACAGAAAATTGCGCTATTCACGTCTTATCGGTGGCTAGGATGGCTCAATCATGTCACATAATTGACAGTGGTCACGTGGTCAATCAAACAAGTGCCTAATAGAATTCCGATGTCGATTCCGCAGCTTTGCTTCACTACAGCCGAAACAGTCGCAATACGATTGCAAGATATGGTATGATGCTGTGAAGAATTATTCATACGAGCTCTAAGTCTGCCTTGGTCATGTGATACGAATAAATCGATGGAGTCGCCCAACGGCCTTCTAGACCAGTTCACGACATACAACTAGATGTGATTTGGGTTTCGCTGACAACCAATCGTCTATGTTTCCACGTCTGCTAATTTGTCGATCAAATTAGGCTGTTGATTTGATTATTTACCCATATTTTAACCACCAGATATGTACTGACCTAACGACGATATCCTGAAAAACAAAGCTTACCACTGTATTCTTGCCGAAACGGTATTATCGCGGGCGAATTTTGAAACGTCTCAATGAATCAAAAAAGTAGAATCAAAGGTTGAAATTTTGACGTGTCAGCACGAAATGGTAAACGCACTTCTAAACGGTGCACCAAATTGATGGATCGAAATGTGCACAATAGCAATTGTAACAATAACAATTGTGTGCTATTGTGCACACAATAGCACACCTCAACAAAGTATAATGGATTCAACCATACCTTTCCTCATACTTCTATTATCGGCGGATTTAAGGGAGTGAAACGGCCTGTATGTGAGTACTGAGTAGTGAGTCGGATTCACTCCAACCGCAAGTAAGACTAGTCTGGTTAAGGTGGTGAGGACATCTACTACGTGCGTCTGGCCACCATCAGCCAAAACACCACAAACGAGAGATTCAGCTGGGTTCTAGGCGAGCCTCTCGAAAAACCAAATTAGTTTGCAAATGAGTGTATATTCGTCAAAACACATTGTGTTCCACTTCGAACCATTGTTGGAGAAGGGTTTGTGGAGGACAGCCGTGAATTGGCAACGTTGAGTGAAAACAGCTAATGTCAAGTTTGGCGTCGTGGGATCTTTGTGCCTTTAAAGATGAGGTCCACGTGATTCTCCTTGCGCGCCGTTGAAAACTCTGTGGGACAAGGCAGGTAACCGGTCCCAGTGGCGAACCATGAATCTCATAGTTGGCATTTAGAGCCCTAAGCACTCAGGGGACTTCGTGCACGATCGATGAGGCTAAATAAGCACAAATGGTACTAAATGTTCGTCTGTGTTACTACAATTCAGACCACCGATGGCCTTTGTCTGTGGCCAACTAGCTTCTTCCAATTTCGATAATTCTGAAACGTCTGGAGAAAACTAAGCCATTTTGTTTTCAGGGTGATTCGCAGTGTATTCGAGCAGTTAAGATACACTGCATAAAGTTTGTGTAGATAGTCAGACCACGTTTAGTTGTTACACCAATTCAAAGGCTGAGCAAGGTAAACTATGGTTGAGTTAAATCGTTGTATTCCGAGCCTCGACATCGATCAGAGGGCATACCGAAGATAAAGTGAATGGGGAGAAACTAAGAACGTGGACTGAGAACAAGGAGTCTATACGGCTTAGTTGTGACATTCTATCTAAACAAATCTAGCCGTAACGAAAACGACAATGACAACTAGGCCTTGGGTTGTTTCACAGCGCTTTCAAAAGAAAGAAAACGAAGTATGTGCAGTTATCTGATCTTTACCTTGACAGATTCGACTAATCTTCCTGTTCGATCAACGTAAATTGCACACGGGGCGGAGGCTATCAGACCGGCGACAATCAACAGTGATCCACAAATTCCAGCATACTCGTTTGAATAGCCTTTCGTGCAAAGTATCTGTTGTAACAATGTAGAAATGGCACCAAAGTAGGCCAAACCACCTCCAAAAGTGGTTGCCAGTAAAAAAAATGCGGGAGATCTCATGGCAAGACTAACACATCGCACGAACGATTGCAGCCGCATGGGTATAGTTACTGCATGTTTTCGGTGCATTTCTTCAAAAACGGCGGAAGCCACCGAGGGCGGTGTTTCCGGTTTATTCTTACGTACGAAAATCACCGATAAAACCCCACCGAAAGTCACAAGACCCATTGTTATATAATTGAACGTAGGGATTGCAGAAGGTTGGGGTACGAGAAAAGGCACCAAGGCACTACCAATGAGTACACCAACGGAGTTTCCAAGGGAGCCAATGGTGTTGGCTGTTGTTCTTTGGAAATCTGGAAACCAGTCTAAGGCAAGTTTTGTTGGGGCAAACATACAAAGTGGCTGGGCTAGGGATGCGACTACATGACCAAATAGGACCAGACGCAGCCGAATAGTGGTTGGTGGCCAGTGAGTGCTGCAACTAGAAAGCAGGCGCGCAAGACCACAAATCAAGTGAGTTGTCACCGAAAACAGGAGAACGAAGCGAATTCCAAGCCAGTCAACCACCAAGGAAGCGGGTAAACCGAAGAGCACGGTCGTAATGGGAAATACCAACTGCATCCAGTTCAATACGTATTCGGTTGTAGAATAATATTCACAGAAATGATTAGCTACTGGAGCGTAGGAGATCCAAATATACGCGTTGCTTCCGTTTATAAAAGCCAGAACAAGCACAATAGCCCATCTCACAGGATAGACGCGATGTACGTAATTATTTGGTACGGATATCGACGGCCTAGAATGAGGATCACCCGAGGTGTTTGAAATGCTATTGTTGTCCACTATTGGTATGCGGTCTTCAGATGACTCCATGGTATTGTACAGGCGAAAAACATCTACACCTCAAATATATTGAACAGCAGCAGATGGCATCACGGAGACTCACTGAAATAGAAACAACGCGAAAACAAAGTTTAGTAATGCAGGGAAAAGAAACAGAAACAACAGATCAATGCTCATTGAGTTCCAAAAGCCGCTGTCTAATCCCGAGGCGGAGACCTTTTGAACTAAAATAACATGCTAGGTACTTATGTCACCCTCCAAGTGATGCTTAATAGAAAAATTAAATCAAAGGCGCTATTTAGATCTATTAACTATTGTCTGTTCGAGTGCCGATCCATCTTGCACCTATCAGCGTTTTTCTGAAGTCGAACTTCCCTAGCCCTATAATTACATGGTTTTCATGCAGAAAGACCACGATGAGTGGCTCTTTAATAATACTGACTCCCATCAGAGTATGCAACCGCTCCACAGAAAGAATACGCGTCGAAAACATTTGTTCTAATATTCGAACAAATTGAGCCTTCTCACGATGCAACGGTTGGCGTAACGGCCTCCCGGTCTTCCAAACCCAGCAGTAGAATATGTCCCTTAATCTTTAGGATCGCACCTGAACGAAAGGTGCAGGTAGACATCCCTACGGAACTTTATGATAGCTTCTTACACTTGATTCCACATCCACTTCATGTCATTCCAGACGGGTAACACTTTGTGCCACCCAAGTGGTTGAGATGCGGTGATATGGTAGATTGGAACGTCGCTCTACACGCATTTGATGTGCTGCGCAGTACTGGGAATTACATTCCCGAATTCCTGTACAGTTCAGTTAGGAAAGCCCCAATCGGACCGCTCCCCCGAAATACGTTTCTTAGAAGATTTCAAAACCAATAATTTCGAGAGACTTCGCTTTCTCCTCTCAAACTGACGAGGTAGTCAATGAAACAGCGTCGTTCTCTATCAGCAACCACTTATCCCAGATTGCACTCACAATCCAGACCGACAGTCCACAAATCCCAATATCACTCCCTACCGCACGTCGAGCGGTGCGAAAACACTGGCTATGTGCATCAAGAATGTCAGGTGCATTAAAGGCCGTCGATCATAGTCCTCTGTCACGCCATGTCAGGGCAAGAGTCGTAGTTTTCACTTCACGCTGAGGCTTTAGACATTGGAACAACAGCTCTAGACCCTCCCCAAGGGTTGGGATTCGTGGTTTCTTCTGTAGAGTCAGATTGAAATGACGTTTTTAAGACAGAATTTCACGTAGTCTAAGTAGTAAGCGCCACATTGGATTCGAATGTAACGCGTTCAAGTTTCTTTACTAATGAATGTTCGGAAGTGGTCAGGGTAATTCTGGTGATGGCCGCGGCTGGGAATATGGGTGGTAACGTGTGGGCAACACACTTCCAGATTCTCGGTAGCGATTATGTTCCTCAGGACATAGGCCTAAGGGCTGCTGGCCAATCCAAAGGACTGAGGTGGCGAAGAATGAGATAAAGTCCCTTCGACCGAGGGCAAGTATGGTAGGCCGAGCTTGTTGGACTTTCAATAAAACAGTATCCCTCACGATCGCACAGCGCAGTCTATTCGGCCACACAGAGAGCAGAAGGCGACATCATCGATAACGGATTACTCAGTAATAAATACTGTCAGGACGCGCCCAGACAGGAAAAAAGCACATATACAGAGGGTGACGCATCCCCAAGGTCACCATCGGTACGACACGTCCGGAAAGTAGGTGAGTTGGCGGCTCTCACCAAATACGGCTTAGCAACATACGACCAGCGTAGTGGGCCTGAGAGTGTTCACGACCGGAACACCGCCATTGGCTATACAGAGCGAACAAGTGAACGACCATACTTGGCCATTTAGTCATCCTATATATTACGCAGACGCTCTGTATGTTTTGTCCTGGCAATATAGTCGTGTCCCCAGTTCTCTGTCTTCTCCTTGTCGCGTAGTCTGGCAGGCTCAGTGCAGGTGTAACCCATAGACGGCCACCCACGATACAACAAATACCAAGTCCGGTACTATGAGACGTTGTTCGTAGCGCAACATCGTTGAGTTGCAGCAGTGCTGGTGACATCCGGTCGGCAGTGCGGTATTTAGAAGGCCTCAATGGAAACTAAGCCGAGAAGCTAGGGGTCGTCAATTGCTGGACGAGGTTTATAATGGTCAACCATCATGCAGTGGAATTACGGGGAAGGCGGAGGAATTCACAGAAAAAATGTTACCTTCGGAAAAGAATGACAGAATAGACATGAAGCCAAACGAGCCTGCGACTTCCCGTAATTTCAGGAACCGCCAGTGTATCAACGTGCGAGAATGGTGTGTGTGAGGCGGGAGGAGGGGTACATGCGTCTTGGAAGCGGGGATATTGCTGTCTGCGTATACGTATACACTAGCAATGCGTCCGCGTGTGGTTATGACCTCGTGGTCTTCGACCTTCAAGGGACAGCCAAGACTTGGTGTTGAGAAGGGGTGGGGAAACTAGCTTTGTTAGCTCGGAGATTTTGTTAGTTGATCAGTTACTCAAAATGCACGCGAATGAGTTTTCCTTCGTGGACACAAGGGAGTCTAACTCACAGGGTAGGAATCGGTGAGGGGTGTCGCGGGAGTACAGGCAAGTGAGGAATACGGTGTAGGAAAAGAGGGGGTATTGTTTGCACAAGTGAAAGGTGATTTAACTCAAAAAGGTATAAATGAGGAGTGGCTACGTCAGAACAAGTGGTTGTGAAAGAATGTGATAAGAATACGAGTGCAGACACAGGTGTGGAAACAAGGGCAAGAAAATGCTGGGAGGATGCGAAGTGTTGTTCAGTACAGTTTATCAGCTATACACCACGTACCAAGGGCAAGTTGGCTTTAGATAATAAAAGCAATAATACCCGTTCAGGAAAACACCCTTTCGGCGCCTAGCTGCCATGCCACTCGAAGGAAGCACAAGTGCTGGGATACTGCCGGGTTTCTCCAGCCTAGACAGGGGAAGTTGAGAGGCAGACCTTCCGGACAGTAAGTTCCCGCTCTAACCACTTGGGCCATCTCGCTCCCAGCTACGGTTTCGGTAATCGGAAAATGGGAGAGAATGGGGGATCGTTAAGTATTGGGGGCGATGGTATGGTCAGTTAGTTCGGGAGACTGGGCAGCTACGAATTGGAGGCCGTAGTTTTGATGCAAAAGCCCCACGGACAATTTAATGGAGCTGTGGCATTAACCGTTGCTGAGTTGAGTCGCGAGGTCCACATCCAGGGAGGCGGTAAGTTTCAATCCACCTAAGCTTTTCAAGGATTCCTCATCCAGTGCCTGTCTAGCCTATTTGGGTCTGTCTGGGAGAAGGAGACCGTACCAGAAAACTGGGGTGAATAGACAGTGGTGCCCATTCTCAAAAAGGGTATTCTCAGTGAATGTGATAACCACAGAGGAGTTTGACGCCTGTTGTGACAAGGCTTCTGAGTCTTCGTCGTCTTACGGTGGCACTCGAAAACTTGACTCGGGATTTCGACCGGGTAGAGGCTGCGTTGACCACATCTTCACACTCCGTCAGGTGTTAGAGCAGCGCCACATGTACAGACAACCCACAATCCTGGTATTCCTTGACTTCAAAGGTGCGTTTGATTCTGTTGACCGATCAGTACTGTTAACTACACTTGCTCAACAGAGTATGCCCTAGAAGTTTGTAAGCATGATCCGATCCCTATATTCACAATTCTGGGCGGGTGAGAGTGTAGGTGAGCTCTCCAAAAGCTTCCCTACAAAAAGTGGTGTCAGACAAGAATGTCCACTCTCTCCATTCTTCTTCAACTTCGTTGATGAAATGATGAGGCGAACGCGGGGGGGGGAAGGGATTCAAAACCCAAGTGTTCAAATTGTTCCTAGTGAGAGCCTTGTCGATCTTGAGTACGCAGATGAAGTCACCCGCATC